CTATTTTATATACATTATGACTTACAAATTAACGTAACAAGCATACATATTTCCACCCACCCTATGATATAGTATATAAGATCAATTTTATAAGAAATTTTCAATTATTTAATATTTCAAACCATAAATAACATACCAATTGGGCTATGACTTATATGGACAAAAACTCCACATGACTTCTAATGGACGAAAAACTCCACAAAGAAGCCAAATAATGTCTTCTTCTCAACAAATTAAGCTTTAATAATGTTGGATGGTGTGGGAACTGTTGTAAGGAGAAATTCGAGAGAAGAAAACAAGCATTAGGCCAAGTGTTATTGGAGAGAAGGGGCAATTTCGTCAAATTGAAACATAAAATATGTGAAAGAGACCTTTGGTGAGAATTTTTTTTTTTTTTGGGGCGGGGGGGGGGGGGGGGGGTGGGTGGGTTATTTTTCAGTTCAATCCTTGAATTAGGGATATTTAATATAATCTCCAGTTTTTAATAAATTTCGATGAAATAATAATTCTGAATAAAAATGTATACGTTTTACACCATTAACTAAAGTAATTAAAGATCTCATGATATTAGGAAAATATATATTTTTTTTAACTCAATAAATTGTAACTTTGTTTTCATGTATATAATATTTTATTTTTATCATTTCTTATTTTATTTTCGTTGTTTAGTGTTGTGTAATCTTCCATAATTTTTAAATTTTTTTGGTTAACTTAATTCATGTATAAGAATATTTAAAAGGTCTTGTTTGGATTAAGGGATTCTAAATGAATGATTCTATTAAATCCATGTATTTGGTAAAATCCTTCATTTGGTTTAAAAAAAAAAAAAATTGAAATCCATGGATTTGGGAAAATCCACCACCCTCCATAATCCTTCATTTTTTAGAGTTTTAAAATCCCAAATCCATCAATGTTAATAAAAATGAGGGATTTTGTTAATATTTCAATACAATTATTATTAATAATTTAATATCCCAGTAATTACCCTTCACCCTAATTAAATGACATGTACTTGTCGCTTATCTCCTTTTGAGTTCTCCACTTTTACATCATCGGTAATTACCTTTTACACTAACATGCTTTGTTTAAATTTGCTAATGCTCTAACAAGTTTTGTATGTTTTTAGACATAGTGTTAGTACATTATATTGACACAAATTTTTTATATAGGTATGATTATGTTATATGTTTTAATATGAAATTATTCAATTATTGAAGTTATCATGAATGAAGATAGTTGATAAAATATTATATTAACTTGGAATTTTTTTTTCAAATCACAAAAAATCATTTATTATAATTGGACTTCTCTATCAAATATGATTTAACTTGTATTTAATTAGATGAAAGTTGAATTTTTGTTGGTTTTGGATATTAAAAGTAAAGTTGGAAATTATTTATCAAATCTATAGATTGTATTCATTTAACCAAACATGAGTGCATGGAAATTTGAATTAACAATCCATGAATTTTATATTTAAACCAAATAAGAAAATTTATAAAATACATAAATTTTGAATCCTTGTATTTTAAACTCCCTCAATCCAAACAAGTCCAAGAATATTTTACCTGGGAGCTAACTTGAATGTCATAATGATATTTCTAATTAACTCAATAAATAGGAATAGATATACAAGTATTATTTTGTATAAAAGTAAAACAATAATTGTGTGATAAAATTTGGGTTCAGGTCAGCTCATGGGCTACCTAAAAGGCTCTCACTCTTGGGCAGGTGGCTCGCAAGCCTACTGTAAGGCCTGGCCCGGCTAGAATTCCAGAACCACAGCCACAGGCCTTCTTCTACCAGTCCTCAGTCCTCACTAATCATGTATAATACTCTCATTCTTCTCCCTGTGCGAAAAATTCATGCATCGAATGACGTAATAAAATATTAACTATTAATTAATTATAAATTAATATTAATTGATAATCAGGATTACGTTACGTTATTCGGTGTATGAATTCGGTGTACTACTTTTGGTGATTATAACATTACTCAAAGTGAAAATGTCTCTCGTCCTTTCTCTGTCGGCATACATTATCCTGAGGTTGATTAATATTTTTTGGGCGGTCTTTTGTTTTGAAAAATAAGAAATTAAATTTTGGTATTAGAGGTTTGGTCGGATAGAAAAACATTAGATTATTATACCTATTTAATTTTATTATTAAGCACTATAAAAACATAAACAATAACTAATTAATACTAAAGTAAGACATTAGGAACCGTGTTTTCTGTTCAGTTCAAACTGGACCCGCGCGTTTTCTTGTTGCTTTCTAAATGGAACATTTAACTTTGTGTGCTGTAATCTGTAGTCTGTAACTCCCGTCTTTCACTTATTTAACAATTATCATAAATAAAAAAGGCCGAGTGATCCACCCAAAGTTTTCTATAAAGACAATATGATACCCAAAAGGTTTGGAAATAACAATTATCCACTTTCTGTTAGGTTCTGGTAGTGAAATCTGTTAGAGGAAAGATAAAATAATAAATTTTCATTTAGCCAAAACATCTTACGATTTAAAATTCTTGTATCTATTTTTAATATGAATTTTCTTTATTCTATTTTTATAATTAATTTTAATTAAAATTACACAAAAACTCTAACAGCAAACATATCCGCCTTTGCCACCTCTCTTCTCCTTCTGTGTTTTTTTCTTATTCACCTCTTTCTTCTTTCTTCTCTTCTCTGTTTTGTCTTCATTTCTAATTTGAAAAATCATCAAAATCAAATAAACAACAAATCTTGTCCTATGCAATCAAAAAGCCAAAATAAGAGAAAGAAGGCGGAGAAAGGATGAGATGAAACGAGTTAAGAGAAAAAAAAAAAAAAGAACGGAAAAAGGCAGAGAAGAGATGAGATGTAAAGAGAGATGAGGAAAAAAAAAAAAAAAAAGATAAAATTTAGGGATTTTATAAAATATGAAAAGTCAAAATTACCCTTTAAGTATCAAAGAATATCAATAAGACCATGTCATCTAACAGATTTTACTGACATAACCTTACGGAAAGTGGGTAATTATCGTTTCCAAACCTTTTGGGTACCAGAATGTTATTACGGCAAACTTTGGGTGGGTGCAAAATGTTCGGCCAAATAAAAAACCGATATCGTTAGTTTAAGCTTTCTAAATTTTATAATCTTAAAAGAAAACAAGGAGATTGAGGTTTTCAGTCATAAACTGTACAGAAAGGATCGTAAATTTTATGATAATTATATATAAATTTGAGTAGTTTTAATAACCCTTAAACCCAGTATGTGAAGGATTAATACAACTTAGTAACTTACATTGAAGTCATTTGTCGGATGCCAACGAATTTCTTAAAGCTGCAAATTTTCCATGTAAATTGTTGAGAAACTACAAATCTACAACAAATTCATTAAAAAAAAAAAAAAAATTACTAACAAATTCTAATTACAAGTTACAATCATCTAATCCCAACTGTGGGCTGAAAAAATATAAAATTGAGATAGAAATCCATAGTGAGAGAGACATTGATGAAAGAAGGAATGAATGGGTGCAATGAAGAAGATAGAAAACCAAGAATCAAAAGTTGCAGCCACAGCAAAGGAAGAAGAAGCAGACAGTGGAGACAAGAACAACGGCTTCCACAACGTACATAACCTTGAACACCAAATCATCGAATATCTTGACCTGAAAATCGAGGCGTTTCCATTTGAAAGCGTTCGAGATTTTCCACGGCAACGGCCACACTAAGTTCTCTTTGCTCGTACCTTTCTTGAACGACCAAGTCTTCGACCAAGAACTCTCTTTGCTCATAACTTTCTTGAACGACCAATTCTTCTTCGCTGCCGCTGCCTCTGCCTCTGCCATTAACAACACAAATCAGAAACTCTCTCTTTCTCTCTCTCTCTCGACTATGCTTTATCTATATCTATCTTCTTCCCTTGGCTTTTGCAATTGCAGCTGCTTTGTTCGTGTGGTATATGGCGTATATATTATATATACATATAGATTATGATGCTTTTCGTTGCTTTGGTTTTAACAAAAAGGGGAGGCGGTTGCTAGATGAAGATGAGGAGGGTATTTTAGGGTTTTCACAGCTTTGTTTGAGTTCTAGTCTTCTAGATCTAGACCTAGTAACGTCATTTTAGTTATTTGTTAATTGATTTAAAATAAATGTAATCAAAATAATAATAAATTCTCTAAAGATATTCTGAGCTTGCTAAACGATTAAAATAAAGCAATGAATAAAGAGCATGGAAAGTTGTTTGGGTACCCTTGAAGGGCCTATGAAGAATTTGTTCTGGTGTTTCCGTGCAACGGCTAAAACTAAAAAGCAAAATGACATCTAATAAACTGCTGGAATCCAATAGCTGCCACCAAACGGCATTTTGGACTCATTAACTAAATTAATTTTCTTTCAATTTGGTCAACCTTAGGCTAACGGCTAATGCAGTAAGCCAGTAAAGCATAAAAGACTTATCACATTTTTCGAATAACGCCCCACGTTTCTAATATTAAACATGACGAAAGTTGTCTTCCTTGTTTGCCAGCTTAATTTCACTGTCATTTACAATGTTGTTGTTCCAGATGAGATACATTTTGAACAGAACAGGGGATCTACCTAGTTACTGCAAATTATATGAAAATATCATAAGCTTTTTTATTTTATTTTATGTATTTCAAGTATTCGAGAAAGACTGATATGAAATAATGAAAATTTTAGAAAATTGTTTAAATGGTTAAATATTGTCTTACGTACGAGACAGTCAATCCATAAACAAAGACGGGGATAATCTTTTCAAAAGTACAAGCTGGACTCATTTTGTTAAAGACCTTGCTGGCCCAACTTATTCCTTGATTTTTATTACATAATGTCTTAGATAGAAACAATATTCTCATCAGTCGGACCGTAAAAACCAACGGTCACAAGATCAAATAATTCATCTGCACACTTCTGCAGAGCATCAATGAACAAACATATATATATATATATATATATATATGAAAGAATAAAGAATAAATCTTTGTTCATGATGGAATATTTTAAATTAATCAACAGGGTGGAAGATCCTTTGGTGGTGGTAGGATTGATTCTTCTGGCAACTTTCCATTCTCTACAACAAAAGCCATCTTCAGTCCCCACATAGTGTGCAGCTCAAGGTGACAATGCATAAACCAAGCACCTATAAATTAATGAATACAATGCACTTGTTAATTTGATATAAAACTCTAGGTGGGCATTTAAGCTACAGAAAAACTTAATTACCTGGATTATCAGCTCTGAATCTGATAGCAGTCCATCCGCCAGTTGGAACTCCAACTGTATTTCTCTCAGGAGGGTCAACCAAATTGAACTTAGCTGGGTCTTTCTTGGGATCAAAGTTTCCAATGCCACTTCCAACAACAAAAAAATTGTAACCATGGAGATGAAATGGGTGCGACTCCACTGTGAGAAGATTTGTATCCTGCAAAACTAACTCAATGGTGGAATTGAAAGCCACCTTACTCAGCCTCGTTCCTAGTGAAGTCCCGAGGTTGGCCGTAAGTGGTGCACCGGTGTAGTTAAATGGAACAGGAGGGCGGTCAGGGAAGTTACTTTTGAAAACTCCTGAGATGTTGAAATAATGAGCCTGCAAGAGCCCAATCTTTGGCATCACAAAGGTTATGTTGTTCAATGAAGCTGTGAGTTGTGTTCCATTTTGGCAAGTGGGACATGAGTTTTGTCCCAAACCAATTGTATAAAAAAGATGGCGGTCAATTTTAAGAGGGACTTGAGCAGGATACTGTGGAGTGTTTAAGCTTTTAAGTTTACTGTTATAGTTTAATGCAAAGTTTGTGTCATTGGGAGCAGGCAGGTTTGGCAAGATAGGAAGAACTGTGTTTGGGATGCCTTTGTATTGAAGAATGGCTGTAACAGTTTTATTGTCTACAGGAACTGGGGCGTCCATGAAAGGCCTGGCTGCCATGAAGTATCTGCTTGGAGATTGGTCAGCTTTAACAAGAACATTTGTAGTTTGACCAGGTGCAATTAGGATGGCTTGGGTTGTAAAGGGCTTGGTGTAGACCGCATCGATCTCTACAACAGTCATGTTATGACCAGCAATGGCGAAGAAGAGTTCATCATTAAGTGCAGCATTGACAATCCTCAGGAGGTATGTTTTACCCGACTCAACCTCCATGGCAAAGGTATCTAGAAGAAAAAGAAAATAGGTATTGAGATTTGAGTTAGGAGGGAATCAATCAAGTTTCAAGAGAAAGAAATCATAATCAACAAATTAATTATTGACGCTAGCTAGCTGGTTTTATACGTTTCTCAGAACATGGGAAAAGTGGCCCTGGTTTCCCGTTGATAGTATGAGCGTCTGAAGCTTGTGGTGGCAAACCCAATTTATTAGCTTGGTTTACAATGGTTTCGACATCAGAATTCCACCATTCTCCTGCATATATAAAATTAATTAAGCTTTGACTATACATGTTAGATTATTAAACTGCGTTCAAAACTTTCAGGTTTAGTGTAGATCAGTCATTGATTAATCATATTATTATATTACCAACCTAGAACTAAGTTAGTTTCTTGATAAGGTTGAGGAAATGGAAATGGAGTTCCTTCTTTGGGTAAGATAACAATAGCACCATAAACTGTGGCTCTTAGCCACAAAATATGTGCATGCCACCATAGAGTTCCTCTCTGTCCAGTGACGTTAAAATCATAAGTGTAGCTGTGTCCTGTCTTGATTGGACACTGTGTTATGTATGCCGGTCCATCTGCCCAACCATTGCGATATTGCTTCAACCCATGCCTGCATACAAAGTCACAAGCAAACGAGAACTAAATAATTGGCATCTCCAACTACATGTATATATCCTTCAAATTCATACCAATGAATGGACAAGTTATATTGGGCATAGTTGGTAACATTGACAAGAACTCGATCTCCTTCTCTTGCATAAATAGTAGGTCCTGGAAACTTTCCATTTACTGTAACAATTGGTTTAGCATGGCACAACCTGCTCACATTTTTCACTTGAATCTGAAACATCACAAACAAGAACAAAATATATATTATATCTACATTCATGCTGCATGATATCAAAATTAAGAAACCAATATCCATCGACGAAACAATAGTACATAACATTGTGATACCCACATCAAACTGATACTTCTTTACTGCTGCATCAACTGGAAATGAAAGTAACCCAAAAACAGAAAAAATGAGAAAGAGTGATGCCCAAAACGAATGCTGATGCATTGCCATAGTTTCCTTTTACTTACTGATTAAAAATGTAGTTTATGAATGAATGATAAAAGAGCAAACCATGGTACTTATAATGTAGTAAAATAAATGTTAAATATAAGGTAGGTGGATGGTAGTTAGTGCAGAGTTGGCAAAGCAATAGTTTCATTCGGTAAACAGAAAAGTTCCAGGGCTAAACAAAGCTTTGAAGCAACAGTTATAAGACGTTGAGATATCCATGTACTGTCTGTTAACAATGTATATATATTCGATTTAAACATATATTTGTAATATGGAGTACCGTGAAAGGTGATAATAATATTATAAGCATCCATTTTAACTTATTAAAATGTGCTAACTGCAACATTAAATAAAAAATTCTAGCTTTGCAGTAATCTCTTGCTTGGCCAGTGGTTTGTTTATCTGGGGTTTAAGGATGTTGGGTGACCGAAAGGGACTGATATTCTTCATCTAAGGTGTATGACTTTATAACAATAAGGCCGGTGTTTTGGGTCAATGTTCTCTGGGCTTCAGTATCTGTTTAAAGCCTCGGTCAAAACCCAGTGTAAATTCTATTAAAGAGTTAACGACCTGTGCCCACCTAGAAGATGGCTTAATCCTACCTCAGACTTTTAGAATATCATTTTTTCAGCCAAAACATAGATTTATTAGTAATTTTTATTGTAAAGAAGGGTAGAATAGTCAAAAGTTAGTTAAAAGCAAGAGCAGAATAGTCATATTGTTGTTTTGGTCGGATATTTTCCCAAACCCTAATCGCTGGTTTAGGCCAGTTCAAGTGGTTTGGCATGATTCTGGCACCGTTGATAAGTGTAGACTCCACCCTCAGCTTCCTCATCCTTCACTCACAAAAACCCCTCACTTTCCCACCACACAAAGCATGCTAATCGCTAACCGCCGCTAGTTTTTTGTTTGCACAACCTTTTAGCTTCTAGGTCAGATTTCGACTGATTTGGTTGTCGAAGATTCCACCTATAGTATCAGCGAGATCTCCTCTCTAAAAGCCCCATCATCCTTGACCTTGGTTGTTCACCGTTCATCGGACGCTGACCATTCAACAAAAGAGCCGAACCACAGTCGCTGATGATTAGAGAGCTATCATGATCCAAATTGTTAGGGCTATTAAAGAGGATAACCGGTGATTCGTTTGGTGGCAAAATGTCGGATTGTGGTGGTTGGAGTCAACCGAAATCGTGCACGAAAATTTGATTTGCGATGGCTGGCGATTAGGAATTGAAATTTGGTAGGGGTATTTTCGTCTTTACAACAATCAATATTACTGTATTTAAAGAAAATTATTAACAAAATTTGTGTTTTGGGTGGGAATGTAGTAATTTAAAAGTCTGAGGATCGAAAAATATCATTAAGTCATTTTTTGGGTAAGAAAAAGTGGTTAACTCTATTTTTAAAATGTTAATTTAATAATTTTATCTCGTATGTAGCTACATTAAAAATCATGAATTTTAGTGGGTCATTGGTATTTTTGTATACAAACCGCCTTTTGTTGAAGGCGGTTAAGGTTTAATACAAATAAATTAATAAGATAATAATGATAAGCTTTTGCCTTAAATCTTGGCATATGATGACAGGTATCAATAACCTTAAGGGTGCGTTTGGTTCAGAAAATATTAGATTATTATAATTTTATATTGTCTTGAAGATTATTAGGAATCTTTAGAAAAATATGTTTGGTTAGTTGGTAGATATGTTATATTAATATGTTTGGTTAAGGGGAATAAATTGGTGGGTATGTTATTTAAATTACTAAATTACCCTTTTTTTAAATATTAATATAATATTATTTTTATTATTAATTTTTGAATAATTTTTTTAATCCCCAATATTTCAGATTTAGCTAAGACACCCACACTTATATAAAACTTTAATTTATAACAAAATCACCCCCACCCCCTACCGCCGCCTGTCACCACCGCAAACCACCGTCAGAAGTCTCCGAAAGTCGCTGTGAGTAGCTCATCGTGACCACGAGGCTCCGATATGGTCGAATCTGGCTATATTGATGGCCAAAAACGGTCATATCAAGCCATATCTGGCCATCAATATGGCCGAAAATGACCATATCGAAGCCTCCCAACGAATCTCGATCATTTTTAGGGACTTCGAAAACTTCCCAGCGGCGGTCCGTGGTGATTAGTCCGCTGTTAGTGGTGGTGGTCTGTAATTTATTTTAAATATAAGGACATTATTGTTCAAAAACTTAATTAAACAAGGGTAAAATTGAAATGGTAAATTAATGTAAATTTATTTTAAAACGGGGGCATTATTGTCCAAATTTTTTATTAATAAGAGATATAATTGTAACAAAAATAAGATTATCTTAGTAATTTTACAATACCTAAAAAAATAGAGATAATCAGATTACCTCCAATATTACCAATAATAATAATTATTAGTAATATAAGATTACCAAAATCTTATATTACTTGATAACTAAACATGAAAATTAAGTAATATAAGATAACATAACCTCAGTAATCTTTCTTTACCTCCAACCAAACGTCCTCTAAATATAAGTGGATCTTTATCATCTATCAATAAACATTGTCAGTAATCAGATGCAGGATTTTACAGGAAACCTCTGGATGGAATGAAACAATGACATTTCACCACGTGAATGTCGTATTGCAGTGAGCCATTGTCGCAGCAAATGTTGATAAGGATGTATTACAATGACCCAGTAACACGATCATGAATCTGAGTGGGAACAGATTTTGACAAATTAGTTTTGGATAAGCTATAATTATGTACCAAGAATAACAAGAACGCGTATTCATTTGATATATCAACATTTACGTAAATAACAGTTGTGATTAGAATAGAGCAACACATCGGTGTGGTTTCTTCACATCCACAATTTTAAATTTTCCAAATTGAGGATTAAGCAAGGTCCACTTAGAAACCGCCATCAAGCTCAAGAAAATTCATGTGGTCCAATCAAAACGTTGCCACGTGGCCTAGCCCAATATCGTATAAAATAAAATCTTCCAAGTCAAGATTTTGTGAAATCCGACAATGACTGACCCTCCATTTATCAGCAGTTAAAGACGCCGCCTCCAACTCCTATTATTTCTCTAAAGCTCTTCAATCTTTTGAAATTTAGGATGTTGACTAGTGTATTTTAAGGAATAAAGAAAAGGCACTGGAAACTCTCTATCGAACAAACTAAATTTATTACTACGAAAAAGTTATAATTTAATAGAATTATAGTTACAAAAATTATTATTTTGACTTCTTATTTTATAATTAATATTTTAATAGTATTAGAATTTTAATTCATTATTTTAGTAGTAGTAGGATAGTACATAATTGGATATCAAAGAATCATTATAAAATTAAGTGATCAGATTCAATTTTATTATACTAATCAAANACTATGCTAGGTGGCATAAAGAGTCTCTTTCTCAGCTGATCTACGACCACCCTGCAGTTTGTTCTGTCTGTTGGTAGTGGTTTCTTTTAATTTCTTTGTAGGCAGAGGGCTTCCCTTTACAGAAGCTTTTTCAGGTCTCTTCCGGGGTATTTACTTCTTATATAAGTAGTGGGCTTTCAACCCCTTTTAAATAAAAAAGTCAGGATTAACGGTTCCCTTTAGACAATTTCCTCAAAATGGAAAATCAAAGATATTAATTGGAAGCCGTCATGCGGATCAAAAGCTGGTTCCTCAAACAGATCTCGGGAAATCTGATTTAAAGGCTCCCCACATTCGCAGGGGCTAGGTACCTGATGGGAACTACACATATGGTTAACAAAGGTATCCCTCAGAACCTGAACCAGCAATTTCGGATCCGGTGTAAGATAAAGAGCAGATGGGCTTTCGATTATTAACTTAAATTAAAAGAGGGCTAACACTGCCTGAAAGCAAGAACTGTTGACATCATAAAGAATTGTTCACCAGCAGAATTCGAATCCGCTGCTTTCAATATCCGCTCTTTGAAAGAAGTAAATGGACAAAGCCTTTTTGCCGGCTATTCTTTCTTTTCTATCTTCTTTGTCTGAAACTCGGCTCAATGGATTTCTTTCAATCCCTACTTTCGAAAATGGGGTTCTCTCTTGGGAGTCGAGTCCTGTTGAGTAGGGGCTTAGCCCGTGAAGGATGGCTCCTTTTGGTTTTTATTCTAGCCGCTTTCGGGATCTTTGACGGAACGATAATGAATATGACGGGAGGAAACGAGACAGTTAACCAAGGGCTGCACAGGGGCCCCTCTTCAATACAAAATTCTGAATCGGACTCGGGTAGTTGGCGAAAGTACCTCACTTTATCATCAGAGATAGAAGTAAATCAAACTCCTGGGCGTCAAGCTCCACCGCTGCCCATCGAATCAGGGACTGTGCCACCCGCCAATGCAGTCGCCTTCTCTCATCTCTTAAGATATTTTGAAATCGAGAATCGTGAGACTCGCTTTATCGGGATGGGGGATGGCTCGACATCAAATCTCATCTCCGGGTGCACATATGGTATCAATCTCTGGTTGGTATAAATCTCAATCTCTGGTCAGAAAGAATGATGCCAACCAAGCTCTATCTTAGCGGGGCAAGGGCGATTCGGATCACCTATGATTCGGGACTCACATACCGCTATTGAATCTATTGCCGCCATTACGGCCAGTTGTTAACACAACTATATAGGGATAATGGAATGACTGAGGACCGGAACCACTGAATCAAAGCTTTCTCCTTCGACAAAGATACAGGCAGATGTATAACTAATAGCTGATAGCTCCGGGGTAGGGACTCGAATGGAATGAATAGCCCTAGGGGTTGACCTACTCCCCTTCCTTGGCGTTGGGGGGAAAGGAGAACCGCTAATGCCGAAAACGCCCGTTGGTTGGTATTTCTCCCCCTCGGGTCGGCCAATCCACATCGAATGAGACTGAAGCAAAGTTCGGTTGTTAAGGAGACATTTAATCGATTGCGGATGGAGGGTCTTGCATCGGCGCAGTTGTTGGCATTCGATTCGTCTACTCGGCCCGATAGCAAGCGGC